AGAATTATTTCGCTAATTCAATTCACATTTTCCAAAGACGTCCAGTGGGCTGGACTGGAGTCTTTGCTGGGCCAATTTTGGACCCTGAGCCTTATGTTTGACTCCCCTGCTCTAAGCTATTGCACTTTTGGCACAATCTTACACATAATAGGAAAAACACCGCACTTTTCGCCTTTTATATGCGTTCTCCCTTCATTTTAGTCCCTGACACACAGACACTGTGATTCACCTCCTCTCAGAAGCTCTCGATCTGTAACCCTGTCATGAATAATCTACGACTTACATTTAGCTAATAATACTTTTAAGAATTTTCATGCGACACAGTGTATGTTACTGTTCGATATTAGTAGTAATGAGCAGAATTCACTAATAACTTTATAAATGTGGTTGAAACGGCTCATTAATTCATGGAGGGATACGCAGTAAAGTTTGAACTGTTGGATCCAGAGATGATGAACCCTCTAACCTCAGCGAACTGCGGTCCTCCCTGGTCCTCGTGGTCGGCCGCACCGCCCTGCAGCAGCAGAGCCAGCGTCACGCAAAGCAGCAGCGGGCCCCACAGGTCCCAGTCCCGCAGCAGAGCCGAGCTCTGCTTCGGGTAGAGGACGTGGATGAACTTGTTCCCCACCGCCCGCAGATCCCTCATGATGGTGTCCTTAACCGGTTCGTCCAGAGTGGAGAATTCATCATCTCTTCTAGACGGGCCGACGGGCACCGAGATGTCCCCTTCCACCGGGATGTCCTCCGCGATGGAAACGTCTGACAGCCCGGCGAACGGTCTGCTGGCCTCCTCCGATGCCGCCATCTTACCTCGCTGAGAAGCTTTGTGAAAACGTCGTCAGAGCTTCTGGGAGATTAGTCAGAAAACTTCATTTAACTTATTTAAAAGAAAAAAAAGCAGACAGAGCAGCAGTTACTGGTGAGTTTAAATCCTGTTCTGTGACTTGGTCTGACGGCGTATGCTCCACGTCAGCTGAGGATTGTTTACTTCCGGCAGACGCTGGATATCCGTGTGGTACGTTCAGGTTCACCTGCGTCAGTTCCACCAGCTATCGTTAAACAAAACAGTGAGGAAATTAAACTTATACGAAGAATAGATATATTTACTTCCCATTCATCCTAAAGTAAAAGAAGTAAAGTCCAAAGTCATAAAGGAGATGTACCGAATAAATGAATTCCTAAAATGAAAATGTAATCTAGATGGGAACACGTGTATAATCTGTGAAAATGAGAAGTCTGGATCACTTGTTTTTCTATTGTGAGTCGGGGAAAGCTGAAATGACACGTGTAGCTGGCTACAGTCCAGAGGGATTCGGTTACCACATTTAGCAGTCACTGTAATTAAATTTATGGATATGTATTGCAAATCTAAATTTGGAGTCTGTTATCAGTACTGTGTTGTTATTAGGGAGATATTTTATTCATAAGTGTGGATATTTTAAAGCTAAACCATGTAACAAATGACTGAACAAATAAAAACTCCCGATTAAGAGTCAAAAAC